TAGTGAATGCAGGGTCTGGGGAGACAAGATATAGTGAACGCAGGGTCCAGGGAGAGCAGATATAGTGAATGCAGGGTCTGGGGAGAGTGGATATAGTGAATGCAGGATTCCGGGACCGCGGTTTTAGTGAATGCAGGGTTCAGGGGGAGAGCAGATATAGTGAATGCAGGGTTCAGGGGGAGCAGATATAGTGAATGCAGGGTCTGGGGAGTCCAGATAAAGTAAATGCCATGCCTTGGGATACTAGATATAGCGAATGCAGGGTCCTGGGAAAATGGATATAATGAATGCAGAGTCTGGGGAGACCGGATATAGTGAATGCAGGGTCTGGGAGGAGCAGATATTGTGAATGCAGGGTCTGGGAGGAGCAGATATTGTGAATGCAGGGTCCGGGGAGACTAGATATAGTGAATGCAGGGCCTGGGGAGAGCAGATATAGTGAATGCAGGGTTCTGGGAGAGCGAATATAGTGAATGAAGGTTTCTGGGAGAATGACTAAAGTGAATGCAGGGTCCAGGGAGACCAAATATAGTGAATGCAGGGTCCTGGGAGACTAGATATAGTTTATGCAGGGTCCAGGGAGAGCAGATATTGTCAATGCAGGGTCCGGGGAGAGCGTATATAGTGAATGCAGGGTTTGGGTAGGAGTGTGTGGATGACGTTACCATTCATCGGGACAGCGGTTATAGTACTCTGTAAGCGGCTCTTGGAACGACATTAGAGCAGCCAATAGCATTCATTAAGTGGCCCCGTGCTTTGCCTGGCATTACATTACGGATGGGGTCTGGTTTGAGCATGTACAGGATTCTGCTGCCATCTAGTGTCTAATCAGTACATCACTGGATGTTCATCATACCTGGTGCAATATACACCTCCGGAACGTGAGTGCATTTCTTATGATTAATTGATGAATAAAAGTGTAAAAGGATAAAGCACTATGTGGAGTTCTTTGTAATGAGGAATACGGCTGATACAAAGACGCTTATCAGGAGGGAGATTACTTTGGAGTCCTCATTCAGCATGCTGATCTTCTGAGTCCAAATGGGACCAAAAGTGCAGTTAGACGGTATTATTGTATAATGTGCGGTGATCAGGGAGAGTGAATATAGTGAATGCAGGGTCCAGGGAGAACAGATATAGTGAATGCAGAGTCTGTGGAGAGCGAATATAGTGATTGCAGGGTCCGGGGAGAGCAGATAAAGTAAATGCAGGGTCCAGGGAGACCAGATATAATGAATGCACGGTCTGGGGAGAGCAGATATAGTGAATGAAGTGCCCAAGGAAAGCGGATAAAGTGAATGCAGGGTCTGGGGAGAGTGAATATAGTGATTGCAGGGCCCCGGGAGAGCGGATAAAGTGAATGCAATGTCTGGGGAGACCACATATAATGAATTCACGGTCCATGGAGAGTGGATATAGTGCATGCAGGGCCTGGAGAGAGTGAATATAGTGAATGCTGGGTCTGCAGAGAGCGGATCTAGTGAATGCAGGGTCCAGGAAGAGCGGATACTGTGAATGCAGGGTCTGGGAGACAGGATATAGTGAATGCAGGGTCCTGGGAGAGTGGATATAGTGAATGCAGGGTCTGGGAAGAGAAGATATAGTGAATGCAGGGTCCGGGAACAGTGAATATAGTGAATACAGGGTCCGGGGAGAGCAAAAATAGTGAATTCAGGGTCCGGGAAGAGAAGATATAGTGAATGCAGGGTCCAGGGAGACAACATATAGTGAATGCAGGGGTCCGGAGAGAGTGGATATAGTGAATGCAGGATTCCGGGAGAGTGGATATAGTGAATGCAGGGTATGGGGAGAGCAGATATAGTGAATGCAGGGTACGGGGAGAGCAGATATATTGAATTCGGGGTCTGGGGAGACCAGATATAGTGAATGCAGGGTCTGGGGAGACAAGATATAGTGAACGCAGGGTCCAGGGAGAGCAGATATAGTGAATGCAGGGCCTGGGGAGACCAGATATAGTGATTTCAGGGTTCTGGAAGAATGAATATAGTGCAGATATAGTGCAGGGTCTGGGGAGACCAGATATAGTGAATGCAGGGTCTGGGGAGACCAGATATAGTGAATGCAGGGTTCTGGGAGAATGAATATAGTGAATGCAAGGTCCAGTGAGACCAGATATAGTGAATGAAGGGTCCTGGGAGTGCGAATATAGTGAATGCAGGTTCCTGGGAGAATGGATACAGTGAATGCAGGTTCTGTGAAGAGCGGATATAGTGAATGCAGGGTCCAGGGAGAGCAGATATAGTGAATGCAGGGTACGGGGAGAGCGATATATAGGTAATGCAGGGCCTGGGAGAGTGGATATAGTGAATGCAGGGTCCGGGGTCAAAAACATATATAGTGAATGCAGGGCCCGAGGAGAGCTGATATATTGAATGCAGTGATTGGGGAGAGTCGATATAGTGAATGCAGGGTACAGGGAGAGCAGATATAGTGAATGCCAGGTTCGGGAAGAACAGATATAGTGAATGCAGGGTCTGGGGAGACCAGGTAAAGTAAATGCCACATCTGGGGATACCAGATATAATGAATGCAGGGTCCGGGGAGAGCAGATATAGTGAATTCAGGGTCTGGGGAAACTGGATATAGTGAATGCAGGGTTCTGGGAAAGTGGATATAGTGAATGAAGGGCCCGGGGAAAGTAAATAAAGTGAATGCAGGTTCCTGGGAGATGAACGGATGTAGTGAATGCAGTGTCTGGGGAGAGAGGATGTAGTGAATGCAGGGTCTGGGAAGAGCGGATATATAGTGAATACAGGGCAGGGCCCTGGGTGAGCAGATATAGTGAATGCAGTGTCCGTTGAGAGTGGATATATTGAATTCAGGTTCGAGGAGAGCAAATATAGTGAATGCAGGCCCCTGGGAGGAGTGTGTGGATGACGTCACGACATTACCATTCATCAGGACAGTGGTTATAGTACTCTGTAAGCGGCTCCTGGAACGACATTCCAGCAGGCAATAGCATTCATTAAGTGGCCCCGTGCTTTGCCTGGCATTACATTACGGATGGGGTCTGGTTTGAGCATGTACAGGACTCTGCTGCTGAGATGATACTGCCATCTAGTGTCTAATCAGTACATCACTGGATGTTCATCATACCTGGTGCAATATACACCTCCGGAACGTGAGTGCATTTCTTATGTTTAATTGATGAATAAAAGTGTAAAAGATAAAGCACTATGTGGAGTTCTTTGTAATGAGGAATACGGCTGATACAAAGACGCTTATCAGGAGGGAGATTACTTTGGAGTCTCTCATTCAACAACCTGATCTTTTGAGTCCAAATGGGACCAAAAGTGCAGTTAGACGGTAACATTGTATAATGTGCGGTCACACTGCGTGAGGGGAGCAGATATATGGTGGAGGATGTCTTTGCACGGGAATTGATGACAGATGCACATATTTTTCGTTATCCAAAAGGAGGGTTCACAGAAGAACAATTTATTGATTGAACTTGAGTTGTTGAATGACTTTTCTTGATTCATACTTAAAAAATACTTTTTAATTTTTTTTGTGGTCCTTGTTATATATTTATATATAGATAGAGAGAGAGAGAGAGAGTTTTATTTACTTAATTCTTTTTTAATAATTTTTATTTTATTATTTATTTTTTTCACTTTGCTTTTTTGATATATAGGAATTGTGCTATTGTTTCATGTAGCGCAGCATTTTTTTCACTGGAGACCAGATATAATGAATGCAGGGTCGGGGTGGACCGGATATAGTGAATGCAGCATTCAGGGAGAGCAGATATAGTGAATGCAGGGTCCAGGGAGACCAGATATAGTGAATGCAGGGTCTGTGAAGACCTGATATAGTGAATGCAGCGTCCAGGGAGATCTGATATAGTGAATGCAGAGTCCGGAGAGACCAGATATAGTGGATGGGGGGTCCTGGGAGATTGGATATAGTGAATGCAGGGTCTGGGGAGAGCGGATATAGTGAATGCAGGCTCCTGGGAGACCAGATATAGTGAATGAAGTGTCCTGGGAGAGCAGATATAGTGAATGCAGGGTCCAAGTAGAGTGGATATAGTGAATTCAGGGACCGGGTGACCAGATATATAGTGAATGCACTGTCCTGTGATACCAGATATAATGAATGCAGTGCCTGGGGAGAGCGGATATTGTGAATGAAGGGTCCGGGGAGAATGGATATAGTTAATGCAGGGTCAGGGGAGAGTGGATATAGTGAATTCAGGGTCAGGGGAGAGTGGATATAGTGAATGCGGGGTCCGGGGAGAATGGATATAGTGAATGCAGGGTCCGGGGAGTGTGGATATAGTAAATGCAGGGTCCGGGGACAATGGATATAGTGAATGCAGGGTCCGGGGAGAGCAGATATAGTGAATGCAGGGTCCTGTGAGACCAGATATAGTGAATGGAGGGTCTCGAGAGAGGGGATATTGTGAATGCAGGGTCTGGGGAGAGTGGATATAGTGAATGCAGGGTCTGGGGAGAGTGGATATAGTGAATGCAGGGTCCGAGGTGAATGGATATAGTGAATGCAGAGTCCGGGGAGATGATATAGTGAATGCAGGGTCCGAGGAGACTAGATATAGTGAATGCAGGGTCCGAGGAGAGTGGATATAGTGAATTCAGGGTCTGGGGAGAGCAGATATAGTGAATGCAGGGTCTGGGGAGACCAGATATAGTAAATGCAGGGTTTGGGGGAGACCAGATATATAGTGAATGCAGGGTCCGGGGAGACCAGATATATTGAATGCAGGGTCCCGAAAGACCAGTAATAGTGAATGCAGGGTCCGGGGAGACCAGTTATAGTGAATGCAGGTTCCGGGCAGACCATTTATAGTGAATGCAGGATCCAGGGAGAGCAGATATATTGAATTCAGGTGACGGGAAGAGCGGATATAGTGAATGCAGGGTCCGGGGAGACTATATATAGTGAATGTAGGGTCCTGGGAGACAGGATATAGTGAATGCAGGGTCCGGGGAGAGTGGAAATAGTGAATGCAGGGTCCGGGGAGAATGGATATAGTGAATGCAGGGTCCGGGGAGAGCAGATATAGTGAATGCAGGGTCCTGTGAGACCAGATATAGTGAATGCAGGGTCTTGAGAGAGGGGATATTGTGAATGCAGGGTCTGGGAGAGTGGATATAGTGAATGCAGGGTCCGAGGTGAATGGATATAGTGAATGCAAGGTCCGGGTAGATGATATAGTGAATGCAGGGTCCGAGGAGACTAGATATAGTGAATGCAGGGTCCAAGGAGAGCAGATATAGTGAATGCAGGGTCTGGGGAGACCAGATATATAGTGAATGCAGGGTCTGGGGAGACCAGTTATAGTGAATGCAGGTTCCGGGCAGACCATTTATAGTGAATGCAGGATCCAGGGAGAGCAGATATAGTGAATTCAGGTGACGGGAAGAGCGGATATAGTGAATGCAGGGTCCGGGGAGACTATATATATAGTGAATGTAGGGTCCTGGGAGACAGGATATAGTAAATGCAGGGTCCTGGGAGACAAGATATAGTGAATGCATGGTCCTGGGAGACAGGATATAGTGAATGCAGGGTCCGGGGAGAGCGGATATAGTGAATGCAGGGGAAGGGGAGGAGTGTGCGGATGACATCACGACATTACCATTCCTTGGGACAGTGGTTATAGTACTCTGTAAACGGCTCCTGGAACGACATTCCAGCAGGCAATATCATTCATTAAGTGGCCCCGTGCTTTGCCTGGCATTACATTACGGATGGGGTCAGGTTTGAGCATGTACAGGACTCTGCTGCTGAGATGATACTGCCATCTAGTGTCTAATCAGTACATCACTGGATGTTCATCATACCTGGTGCAATATACACCTCCGGAACGTGAGTGCATTTCTTATGTTTAATTGATGAATAAAAGTGTAAAAGGATAAAGCACTATGTGGAGTTCTTTGTAATGAGGAATACGGCTGATACAAAGACGCTTATCAGGAGAAAGATTACTTTGGAGTACTCATTCAACAAACTGATCTTCTGAGTCCAAATGGGACCAAAAGTGCAATGACGGTAACATTGTATAATGTGCGGTCACACTGCGTGAGGTGAGCAGATATATGGTGGAGGATGTCTTTGCACGGGAATTGATGACATATTTTTCGTTATCCTAAGGAGGGTTCATAGAAGAACACTTTACTGATTGAACTTGAGTTTTTGAATGACTTTTGCTTGATTCGTACTTAAAAAATACTTTTTGGGTTTTTTTTTGTGTTGTCCTTGTTTTCATATATACAGTCATGGCCG